TGTGTGTTGGCCAGGCTGAAGGGGCAAGGCAACTCCTCCCAAAAGGACACTTGAACCGATCTTTGCAAAGATACGACCCTGGGTGCTCTATTGTTTCTGTGCAGTGGCTGGCTCTTTTCTTTGTGATGCAGAAGCAGTCCTCTGGATTTGCGTTTTGTCGTTCAGTTGCAGAAGTGAGAGCCATAGGGAGGTTCTTGCTTGACCATAGGGAGGTTCTTGCTTGCCCCAGTCCCAGCCTTACTGTCCTCCGCACTGTCGTGATCTGCTGCTCGGTTTGGTCCTGCCCGCTCACCTCCAGGATATCAGTAGCTATCGAGGGGGACGTTCAGTTCATCCATAGGCTCTCAGGGCTCTGCAGGGGCCTGATCCGAAGTTCTGTTGAGAATTATTGTGAAACATCCCATCCAGTCAAACACCCATGGCTGGCAAGTCGTTTTGGGGGGGGTGACATTTAAATTAAGGTTAGCCTTGAAGGCAGGGTGGTGCTTCAAGCCGGCCGTGCCAGGAGAAGGAACGTATCGCTTACACTCCATTCGGCAGGTTTTCTGTCCCTGCAGACATCTCAAAATGCCTCTGCGGGTGGCTGCTGTTATCTCAGCGTCTTTCAGGGATGAGCAAGCTGGAGCTCAGAGAGGTTTCGTGTCCCAGGAAACAGTAAGTGCCAGGGCAGAGCTTACATTCAAGGGCACACTGTTAGCTCAATGCTTGCTTTACCTGCTACCGGTTCTAACCCATCCCTTCACATGTTTAATTATAAACATGTACAATGTGTATTTGTGTACATGCATACATACATGTGTAGGCACATACAGTTTATACACATGCAAATCCATATTTAAGCTAATCCACACCTATCTCCACTGTGTAAGCGAATGATAATTTATTTACTCATCTTGTTGACAGACATCTACGTTGTAATGCTTTGTTGTCTCAACTGGTCTCAAGCCTCAGATCCTATCTGGGCCAGCAGAATGCTGACATTGCAGATGCTCTTGACCTCACCCAGAGGTTGTCAGTATTTGCTTTTGAGTCAGGGTCTCGTGCAGCTCAGGCTGTTGTACTGAACTCACCATGTAGTCGGATTTACTTATCCTCCTCTTACATCCACTCCCTGAGAGTTGGGATCAGACGTCTGTGCCACCACAGTTCGTGGTGCGGGACTGGGGACTGATCCCAGGGGCTTGTGTGTGCTAAGCAAGAGCTCTACCAACTGAGCTCCATGCCCAGCCCCAGGCGTAATAGTGTGTGTGTGTGTGTGTGTGTGTGTATGCGCGCGCGCACGCGCGCGTGAGCGTGTAAGTACTCTCAGAGGCCAGAAGATGTCAGATCCTCTGGAGCTGGAGTTACAGAATGTTGGGAGCTGTCTGATGTTTGTGCTGGGAACCGAACCCGGGTTCTCTGCAAAGGCAGCCAGTGCTTGTGACCACTGAGACATCTCTCCAGTTCCAGTGACCCATAAAGTGTGTGCATGCAGCAGCCCATGTCGGCACTCGTGAAGGTCAAAGGGTGCTTTCCTCGATTCCTCTTTACCTTATTTATTTTGAGGCAGGGTCTCTTTGCCCAGCCTGGTGGCTGCTCACTGTTTTGGCTGCTTTGGTTGTCCAGCAGGCCCCTGGAATTTTGTCTCTGCTGCTCCTCCAGGGAAGAGGTTACTCATGGATGCAGCAGGTCGACCAGATGTTCAGACCTGGACTTTGCTGCTCTCTTCTTCCTCCTGGATGTGAGTCGACCAGATGTCCTGGCTGGACTCTTTTTTTAAAAATAAATATAATATTTTTCCCCTTTTTTACAATGAGATTGGAACACAAGTCCTCATGCTCTACCCATTGAATCATGTACCAGCCCCCTGAGCAGCTTTGTTTTTTAAATACAGACAGAGGAGTGGTGGCTTCCACAGACACATGGACACAGGACAGTTTCCCTCTGTCTTCCGTAGGTGCAGAGGACGGGAACATCACTTGTGGGGGTATGCATATGTTTAGCCTTAGCAGATGGTGTGGTGGGGTTTTCCTAAACGGTTGTTGGGCTAACAGACACTCCCACCAGCACCCATGAGCCAGCTTGCTTTTAAAATCTAAGCAGAGAAACCCTGTCTCAAAGAAGAAAAGAAAAGAAAATTACCTCTGAGAATTTCCCAGGGAGATATATCACAGTGGGAGGGGGAGTGCCGGTCTCTTTTCATTTTTATGCTTTTTACAGTTAATTGAGAATAACTATGAAAACAGACACAGTGAAGATTAGCAAATACCGGATCATGTTCTGATTAGAGATGTCCCATTGGTCCCTGAAGCTGCTCGCCACTCCCTAACCAAGGGGCACCCCAACAGGAGAGAGGCTAGCAACACAGCTGCTGAGCGTGGCATCTCATGCCCCCAACCTCAGTGTCCAGGAGGCCCTGGCAAGAGGAGCAGGAGTTTGAAGCCAGCCTGGGATGTCTAGTGAGTTCAAGGCTACCCTGAGCTACTTGGTAGTGTCTAAAACAAAACAAGGGCTGGCGATATGGCTTGGGGAGTAAAGGCACATGCCACACAAGCCTGGTGTCTTGAGTTCCATTCCTGGATCCCATGGTAAAAGGAAAGAATTGAATTGTGTATACACAAGCACACACACACTGAAAATTTAAAAACCAGCCAACTAAACAAACAACAGATACATTGGCAGTAAGCTGAGGCATTCTCTTTGATTCCTGTTGAGAACAAGCATTTTTCTTTTTTTCTTCCAGGAATTCCTGGGTGAGTCTAACATCTTTGCCTGTGCCTCTTTGGATGTTACACTAACTAACATCCATAACTAAAATGCTTTGTCCATAACTGAAAATCTAGATCATTGTAACCAACCAGGACAGGGAGTGACAAGGCTAGTGGGAACTTTACTTTTGTGGGTACAGGGGGACATGGTACACACGCGGAGGTTGGAAGACAACTTATGGGTCTTCATGTGGGTCCCAGGGATCAAACTCAGGGCATCAGGCTTGGTAGAGGCTTCTTCACGCCTGGAACCATATTGCCAGCACAAAGCTAATGCATGGACTGGGGAGAAGGCTTAGGGGTTGGGCAATATGAAGGGCTGGGTGAATCCCAGGAGACAGGGAGATTGTGACAAAAGCTTCTATATCCTGGGGACAAAAATCTCAGCCAGGCTGACGTCTGGGGCAGCAGACAGAGAGCAAGGTGCTTTCTAACAAAAGCATTGGATGGCGTGTGAGGCAGAGACAAGACAAAGATAGCATTGTTGGAGCTTCCAGGAAGGATGGAGGGGTCTTGAGCAGGAGTGAGGATCTAGGAGGAGAATGTACTGCGGGTACAGAGAGATGAGCTGCCTTGGAAAAATTATGCATTGAATTGTGGAGTCAGAGGCCTTTGAGACATACTTCTTCAAGAGATAAAATAATGGATGGTGGGCTGGAGAGATGGCTCAGCAGTTTTCCACCCTGCTCCTGCAGGGGACCCAAGTTTGATTCTTCAGAAACCACATTGGGCAGCTTACAACCTCTGGCAACTACAGTTACCCTACATTATCTCTCTCAGTGAAAAACTGGACTCTTTGTTTGTTTGTTTTTTGAGACTGAGTTTCTCTGTGTCTTTGGAGGCTGTCCTGGAACTCACTCTGTAGACCAGGCTGACCTCGAACTCAGAGATCCACCTGCCTCTGCCTCCTGAGTGCTGGGATTAAAGGTGTGCACCACCACCACCACCCAGAGAAACTAATCTCTTTAGCCTGTTTTGTCATTCTCTTAGTCTGTCTTCCCCTCCCTTCAGGCTCCAGGTACCTGGTACTAATATAATAACACCCTTCTAGGAAATCAGCATTTTTAGTTTACATGCATGTTCTAGATTCATTTTGTTACTGTAACAAAACATCTTGACAGCAAGCAGTTTATTGGAGGGTAGAGTTTACTGTAGTTCACAATCCCGTGTTACAGGGAAATAACAATGGCAGGAGCTTGAGACAGTTGGTCCCGTCACATTTATGGTCAAGAGTGGAGAGAAATGAATGCATTGTGTGGTCCCTTCCTTGCTTGTGCTTGACTCAGTTTCCCCGCTCTTATGCAGGTCCACGCCCTTGCCTAGGGAATGGTGTCCCCCACAGTGGGCTGGGGCTTACCGCTTCCCCTAACTTAATTAAGATGGCCCCCTGCAGACATGCCTACAACCCAGTGTAGAGCATCCCTCATTAAGAGTCTATTCCCAGGTGGTTCTGGGCCGTGTCAAGCTGATACAGCTGACAATCTCAACACGAAAGTGATCTCAAGGTGTAAGTGACATCATATGGTGCCTGTCTTCTCGAACGTGTTTTAAAGCGCATCTCGGCTGCCAGTTTTCCTCCAGCTGCTTAAACAGAGATGGTTGAGCCTGGCGTGGTGGCGCCCATTTGTAATCTTAGCACTTCATGAGCTGAGATGGGAGTACCGTGAGTTGGAGTCAAGACTGGGCTACGGAGACACTTGAGGGGCTAGCCTGGGTTGTCTAAGGAGACCTTGTCACAGACAGATGGACAGGCAGGCAGACAGATGGCTTCTTCCATTTCCTTACGCCATCTGGCAATCACTAAAGCAAGCAACAAGCATTTGGTATCGTTATATCCCCAGCCCGAATAGATTTCCGATAATAAATATTTTTGTTTCCCGGCATGCTGCTAGGAATCTGCGTCTATGGTGGTTAATCTTGTCATCTAAATTACCATCCATGATGTAATGGAGTCACCATGGAAACCCCGTGGGCATGTCTAATAAGGATGTTTCCAGACAGGCGTAACTGATTAGGAAAAACCTACCCTGACTGTAGGCACCTGCATTTAGTCCAGTGGGGCTCTGGACCAGACGAAAAGGAGAAAGTAAGATGAATTCTGGCATCCACCGTTCTCTGCTCTCCCCGTCATGCTCCTGCAGTCATGCCCTCCCGTGACAGGTCATTTTTAACCTCTGAACCATCTCTTCAGCACCCTCCTGTCTCCCGAGCAATCGGCACCATGCCTAGCACCATTCACTATATGTCCATCAGTCCTTAGGTTTTGAGTCCTGTTCCCGAGGAAACTCGTAGGACCCTGGACCAGAGAAGTCAAAGCTTGCCGTGGAAGCGTCACCTCCTCCTGAGGAGATGCAGAGCCTCAGGACTGAGCAGACCCAGGGACTGCTGCCTCGGGACAGCCGGGCGTGGGAGAAGCCAAGCCACCCCACCTTCCCCAAGGACTGGGAGGCTGTGGAGGTCGGGGCCTCCAGCTGCGACAGCGATGAGAAAGGTGAGTGGTCCTGTGGGGGGTGGGCAAGGGACATGCTCTCGGCAGAGTTTAGGGAGAAGCTGAACATCCATTCTGCCACTCACTGAGTCAACAGAGAGTGAGTGGAATGTTGCATTGGACAGCTTAAAAAAAAAAAAAAACAAAAGATTTATTTCTGCCTGCATGTATCCCTGCAGGCCAGAAGGGGGCGCTAGGTCTCACTGTGGATGGTTGTGAGTCACCATGTGATTGCTGCGAGGCTGGGGTGGAACGGATTACTCACCAGGCTGAGGCTAACCTGGGTTAGATGGAGATTTCCAGGCCAATCTGAGATACGTGAAACAAAACAGTCTCTGCTAGCTTCATTCCTCGTAGGACGGAGGAGGATGCATAGGTTGCAACTGTGTGGAAAATTCTTCCCAGGAAGCTTCTCTCACGGAAGGTAGAGAGACTCCTGGACTCTCTTTCTCTCAGGCTCCCTCACTCAGGTTTTGGCTGGAAGCTGGCCAGGGAACGTGTGTCTTCTGACAGGTGAACAGAGGAGCCCATCAGATGGCCCAGGATCTGAATTCGGGCCTGACATGTTATTGGCCCCACATGAATCATGCATGTATGCATGTATATCTGTGTGTTTATGTGTGTGTATGTGTTTATGTATATACATACATATGTGTGCTTTATGTGTGTGTGTTTATATGTATATATACACCTATGTGGGCTTGTTTATATGTGTATAAACATATGTATGTTTTATGTGCATGTGTGTATGTGTATTTGTATGTATATATATGTGTTTGTATGCGTGTGCTTGTGTGTTTGTATATTATACATATATATGTGTATATGTGTGTTTTATGTGTACGTTTGTATATGTGTGTTTGCTTTGTATGTATATATGTATATGTGTGTTTGTGTGTGTATGTGTATATATACCTATATATGTACATATACTTGTATGTGTGTGTATGTTTAAATGTATATATGTATATATCTGTGTATGTGTGTTTATATGTATATATGTGTATATGTATGTGTTTGTATATATCTGTGTGTATATCTGTGTGTATGCGTGTATTACGTGTGTGTGTTTATACATGTTGGTCATTGGTAGCTAATGGATGGGGTAAGTAGATAAGGCATGGAGAAGGCAAGGGGAACCTTGCTGAAGTGTCCTGGTTGCTCACTAGCAGCTCCTTTCTCTGTTTCGTTGACTTCACAGATCTGTCCTCCCAAGAGACTGGGTTGTCTCAGGAATGGAGTTCAGTAGAGGAAGACGATGAGTCAGAGGACTCCCAGGTATGTGTAGGAGCACACATGTTACCCTGATGAGCAGTGAGTTGTCACCTTTCCTTCCTCAGCCTGCAATGACTTCACTGCACAGAGGTTCCAAGTGCTCTCTCGTGGGAGATATGACGCATTCCTGTGGTGATCAGACACAGTGGAGGGTCCCCAATGATAAGTGTGCATCTCTCTCTATGCAGACACCATCCATTGCTCTGCACTCATAGTCAATCCGTCCATCATCCATCCATCATCCATCATCTATCCATCATCCATCATCCATCATCCATCATCCATCATTCATCCATTCATCATCCATCATCCATCCATCATCTATCCATCATCCATCATCATCCATCATCTATCCATCATCCATCATCATCCATCCATCATCCATCATCCATCCATCATCATCCATCATCATCCATCATCATCCATCATCCATCATCCATCCATCCATCCATCATCCATCATCCATCATCCATCCATCATCCATCATCCATCATCCATCCATCATCATCCATCATCATCCATCATCCATCCATCATCCATCATCCATCCATCATCCATCATCCATCATCCATCATCCATCCATCCATCCATCCATCATCCATATATGTGCATCTCCCTCTATGCAGACACCATCCATCGCTCTGCACTCATAGTCAATCCGTCCATCATCCATCCATCATCCATCATCCATCCATCATCCATCATCCATCCATCATCATCCATCATCATCATCCATCATCCATCCATCATCCATCATCCATCATCCATCCATCATCCATCATCCATCATCCATCCATCATCATCCATCATCATCCATCATCCATCCATCATCCATCCATCATCCATCATCCATCATCCATCATCCATCATCCATCCATCCATCCATCCATCATCCATATATGTGCATCTCCCTCTATGCAGACACCATCCATCGCTCTGCACTCATAGTCAATCCGTCCATCATCCATCCATCATCCATCATCCATCCATCATCCATCATCCATCCATCATCATCCATCATCATCATCCATCATCCATCCATCATCCATCATCCATCATCCATCCATCATCATCCATCATCCATCATCCATCCATCATCCATCATCCATCCATCATCATCCATCATCATCATCCATCATCCATCCATCATCCATCATCCATCCATCACCATCCATCATCCATCATCCATCATCCATCCATCATCCATCATCCATCCATCATCCATCATCCATCATCCATCCATCATCCATCCATCATCCATCATCCATCCATCATCCATCATCCATCATCCATCCATCATCCATCATCCATCATCCATCATCCATCATCCATCCATCATCCATCCATCCATCATCCATCATCCATCATCCATCCATCATCCATCCATCATCCATCATCCATCCATCCATCATCCATCCATCCATCATCCATCCATCCATCATCCATCCATCCATCCATCATCCATCCATCATCCATCCATCCATCCATCATCCATCCATCATCCATCCATCATCCATCATCCATCATCCATCCATCACCATCCATCATCCATCATCCATCATCCATCCATCATCCATCATCCATCCATCATCCATCATCCATCATCCATCCATCATCCATCCATCATCCATCATCCATCCATCATCCATCATCCATCATCCATCCATCATCCATCATCCATCATCCATCATCCATCATCCATCCATCATCCATCCATCCATCATCCATCATCCATCATCCATCCATCATCCATCCATCATCCATCCATCCATCATCCATCCATCATCCATCCATCATCCATCATCCATCATCCATCCATCCATCATCCATCATCCATCATCCATCATCCATCCATCATCCATCCATCCATCATCCATCCATCCATCCATCATCCATCATCCATCCATCATCCATCATCCATCCATCATCCATCCATCATCCATCATCCATCATCCATCATCCATCCATCCATCATCCATCATCCATCATCCATCATCCATCATCCATCCATCATCCATCCATCCATCATCCATCCATCCATCCATCATCCATCCATCATCCATCCATCCATCCATCATCCATCCATCATCCATCATCCATCCATCATCCATCCATCCATCATCCATCCATCCATCCATCATCCATCCATCATCCATCCATCCATCCATCATCCATCCATCATCCATCCATCATCCATCCATCATCCATCCATCATCCATCATCCATCCATCATCCATCATCCATCATCCATCATCTATCCATCATTCATCCATCATCCATCCATCATCCATCCATCATCCATCATCCATCCATCATCCATCCATCCATCATCCATCCATCCATCCATCATCCATCCATCATCCATCCATCATCCATCTATCATCCATCCATCATCCATCCATTCATCCATCATCCATCCATCATCCATCATCCATCATCCATCCATCATCCATCATCTATCCATCATCCATCCATCATCCATCCATCATCCATCCATCATCCATCATCCATCCATCATCCATCCATCATCCATCCATCATCCATCTATCATCCATCCATCATCCATCATCCATCCATCATCCATCATCTATCATCCATCATCTATCCATCATCCATCCATCATCCATCCATCATCCATCCATCATCCATCATCCATCCATCATCCATCCATCCATCATCCATCCATCCATCCATCATCCATCCATCATCCATCCATCATCCATCCATCCATCCATCATCCATCCATCATCCATCCATCCACCCATCATCCATCCATCATCCATCCATCATCCATCCATCATCCATCTATCATCCATCTATCATCCATCATCCATCCATCATCCATCATCCATCATCCATCATCTATCCATCATCCATCCATCATCCATCCATCATCCATCCATCATCCATCATCCATCCATCATCCATCCATCCATCATCCATCCATCCATCCATCATCCATCCATCATCCATCCATCATCCATCCATCATCCATCCATCATCCATCCATCATCCATCCATCATCCATCATCCATCCATCATCCATCATCCATCATCCATCATCTATCCATCATCCATCCATCATCCATCCATCATCCATCTATCATCCATCATCCATCCATCATCCATCCATCCATCATCCATCCATCCATCCATCATCCATCCATCATCCATCCATCATCCATCCATCATCCATCATCCATCCATCATCCATCCATCATCCATCATCCATCATCCATCATCCATCCATCCATCATCCATCATCCATCATCCATCATCCATCATCCATCCATCATCCATCCATCCATCATCCATCCATCCATCCATCATCCATCCATCATCCATCCATCCATCCATCATCCATCCATCATCCATCATCCATCCATCATCCATCCATCCATCATCCATCCATCCATCCATCATCCATCCATCATCCATCCATCCATCCATCATCCATCCATCATCCATCCATCATCCATCCATCATCCATCCATCATCCATCCATCATCCATCCATCATCCATCATCCATCATCCATCATCTATCCATCATCCATCCATCATCCATCCATCATCCATCCATCATCCATCATCCATCCATCATCCATCCATCCATCATCCATCCATCCATCCATCATCCATCCATCATCCATCCATCATCCATCCATCATCCATCCATCATCCATCCATCATCCATCCATCATCCATCATCCATCATCCATCATCCATCCATCATCCATCATCTATCCATCATCCATCCATCATCCATCCATCATCCATCCATCATCCATCATCCATCCATCATCCATCCATCCATCATCCATCCATCCATCCATCCATCCATCCATCCATCCATCCATCATCCATATATGTGCATCTCCCTCTATGCAGACACCATCCATCGCTCTGCACTCATAGTCAATCCGTCCATCATCCATCCATCCATCCATCCATCCATCCATCCATCCATCCATCATCCATCCACCTACTCGTTCACCCATCCCCTTCATCTAGCTACCTTCCATCTCCCATGGAAACTCTGGGTTTGATGTCCAGCACACCATAAGTCTGGAATTCCAGCACTTAGGAAGTAGAGGCAGAAAATAGGAAGTTCAAGGGTCATTCTTTTTTTCTATAATTTTAAAATTTAAATTAGAAACAATCTTATTTTATATATCAATCCCAGTTCCCTCTCCCTCCCATCCTCCCATACCCTCCACTGACCACCCCCATCCCACCCTCCATCCACTCCCCAGGGAGGATGAGGCCTTCCATGAGGGATCATCAACATCTGTCACATCATTTGGGGCAGGACCAAAGTCCTCCCCCTGTGTATCTAGGCTGAGAGAGTATCCCTCCATGGGGAATTGCCTCCCAAAGCTCATTTGTACACTAGGGATAAATACTGGTTCCACTGCCTGAGGCCCCATAGACTTCCCAGGTCTCCCAACTGACACCCACGTTCAGGGGGCCTAGCTCTGTCCTATGCTGGTTCTCAGCTGTCAGTCTGGGGTCCGTGAGCTCCCACTTGCTCAGGTCAGTTGTTTCTGTGGGTCAAGGGTCATTCTTAACTATGTAGTGGATTGAAGCTAGTCTGGGCTTTCCTTAAATAGGGTAATACAGAAGACATACATGCAACCCATGTTAATGCATATTGGCCATCTTTATTCTTTTTCAAATTCACTTCATCTTCAGAAGGAACAATGTATAGGTTAGCATTCATCTCACTGTTAACACAACACCTGACAAGATGTTGGAGGAGGCAAGATTTATTCCAGCTCATGATTTTAGACGGGTCTCGTCCATCAGTCCAGTTAATGCGGGTGGGAGTGTGTGGCGAGGCTCTTCACCTAGGAAAAATGAAGAAGAAAAGACACAAGGAATCACAAATTTGTATAGGTCTGCTCTAGTGATTAGTCCCTGTCCCCACCCCCCAAGCCTCCCAGCACAGTACTGCTAGCCGTGAACAAACAGAGAAAACACTGGCCGGTAGGAGATATTCAGAATTAGACCATAAAAAAACAAAAACAAAAGCACTGTCTAACCTGGGAAGAGAAAAGCGAAGTTAAGAAGCAGGCATCTGAGGCTGGGGAGATGGCCCAGTGGGCAAGAGTCCTTTCTGCTCTTCCAGAGGACCCGAGTTCTGTTCCCAGCACCCTTGTCGACTGTAACTCCAGTTCTGGGACCCAGTGCTCTCTTCTGGCCTCTGTGGGCACTGCATTTGTGTGCATATCATCCACTACCACCACAGACATACATACGTGTAATTCAACACGACCTTGGGTTGGAGAGATGGCTCAGCAGTCAAGGGCGCTGGCTGCTTTTCTTTTCCTTTCTTTCTTTCTTTCTTTCTTTCTTTCTTTCTTTCTTTCTTTCTTTCTTTCTTTCTTTTCTTGTTTTTGTTTTTTGAGACAGGGTTTCTCTGTATTGTTTTGGAGGCTGTCCTGGAACTCACTCTGTAGACCAGGCTGGCCTCGAACTCACAGAGATCCGCCTGCCTCTGCCTCCTGAGTGCTGGGATTAAAGGCATGCGCCACCAACGCCCGGCAACGCTGGGTGCTTTTCCAGAGGACTCAGGTTCAATGCACAGCAACCACATGGCTGCTCCTAACTATCCAAAGGTCCAGTTCTGGGGGATTAGGCTCCCTCTTTTGGCCTCCACGGGCATCAGGCATGCACATGGGACACAGACATACATGCAAGCAACCTCCCCCACACCATGTACAATAAAAAAAATTTTTAGAAGTGAAAGCTTAAAAAGAAACTAAAATAAATATTAAAAAAGAAAAGAAATGTTTTTTTTTTTTTCTGAACCAGAGGATGCAGCTATGATGTCTTTGGTCAGAGTGATGGGACTAAGAGGAAGTGGTCAACTCTGGAAATGTTTTGAAGTCAACAGTATTTGCTGGTGCCTCAAATGTGGGTGGAGAAAGAAAATCGTCAAGGATGATGCCGTGTTTTAGAACTGGATGGATCTGAAGGAATGACACAGAGTATATATCACGCTTCTTTAGTGAGGAGCAGATATTAGGATATGCAGGGTGGGGGGCATGTAAAACTTAACGTGCCTGGTTAGGGGGACGGCTTAGTGCGGAGAGCAAGTATGAAGAATGGCATTTGGGTTCCCAGCACCCAAGCAAATGCTGGGTGGATGTGACAACCTGCACTTATTTAATTCTAGCACTCTGGATGTGGAAGGTGGAGACTGGGGATCCCTGCTGCGGGCAGGCTAACTACAGTAGTCTATGTCATCAAGCTTCAGTCGAGAGACCCCGCTTCAATGTATATAAGGTGGAGATCAACTAAGGGAGATTGCTTATGCCAACCTCAGACCCCCACCCGCATGTGGACGCACACATGTGTGTATGTACACATGTGTGTGTCATATACACGTGAACATGCACTTACACAAAACACAAGTGTGCAAGGAAGTTCAAGGTGGCTATTATCCTTACAAATGAGTGTGTTTACACAATGAGATGGACAGCTGGAAATTTAATTGGGGGGTTTGGGTCAAGAACTGGACACCTGGGGCACAAAGCTAAGGTTTTCTATACCAAGTGATATTTTGAAATTCGATCTCTTTATTCTGAAAAAAATTTTTTAACACAGGTGTGTTGCTGGCTTTCGTATAGTTCTCTGCTATCTGGTTATTCTGTAATGCAGTTTAAACTCAGACAACTTCCCTGCTGGTAGACTCCTAGTCCCAGGGTCTTATTTTCCAGCAGTTAATGATGCTAACCTCTTCTTGTCCAGCGCTGATATTTTCTTTCTGTCTTCTTCTTCCAGGGCTTTATGGAGTGGTCCAAAGCTCCACAGCAAACAACCATCGTGTTGGTAGTGTGTGTGCTGTTCCTGTTCTTGGTTTTAACTGGGATGCCCATGATGCTCCACATTTAACTGTCACGGTAGCTACTGTATGGAAACTTAAGCCCCGTGTCCCATTAAAGAACTGTCCTCCTGGCTAGAAACCAGGAATGGGTACTGATCATTACAAAATGCCTTTCAAGCATCCATGGAGATGAGTCTATTATTATTTTTAATTTGTTTATTTTAAAGATTTAGTTTTAATTATGTATGTGTGTCTCTGTGTGTGTGTATGTGCTATTGTGAGTGCAGTGCCTGCAGAGGCCAGCAGAGGGAGTCTGATCCCTGCAGCTGGAGTTGTAGGCAGTTGTGAGTTGCCTGACATGGGTGCTGGGAGCAGAACTCTGGTTCTCTGCAAGAGCAGTAAGCACCCTTGACTGCTGAGCTGTCTCTCCAGCTTCATGAGTTAATTTTTAGTATGAGTTTTTTTTCCATTACTGAAATTCATTTAAATAAATGTATCATTGAAGGAATACATCATTGATTGTAAAAACACATATTATTTTGTATACTGCTGAGAATTTTCCTTATTGCTGAGAAAGAGAAATGTGTATTAATTGTAAGACATTATGAATAAGAAGACATCTCTTCAGAGAAGGTGAAAAATGTGCAACTTAGGGTCAATGTTGAACCATCTTCCATCTTCTAAAAATATTATATTACAGTTTAATGTTTTGCTTACATGTGTGTCTGTGTATCGAGTGTGTGCCTGGTGCCTGTGGAGTTCAGAAGAGGATGTTGGATCCCTTAAAACTGGAGTTATAGATGGTTTTGAACTACAGTGTGGGTGCTGGGAATTGAACCTGGGTCCTTTGGAAGAGCAGCCAGTGATCTTAGCGCTGAACATCTCTCCAGCCTCAGCATCGTAGCATCTTCAGTATGTATAGTCCTTCCATATGCTGCCTTCTTTTTCTTGCTGTTTTATGTAAGGACTCTTGCCTCTGTCTTCACGTGTTCATTTGGTGCTATTTTTGTGAAGTTTTGGTCTCATGGTTTAAGCTTGCATCACTGAGAGAGCTGGGTAACTTTTTACACTTTTTAATGCTTTTGAATAATTTCCGTAGCGTGAGAAATATCAGGTCTTTGATGGTTTAAGAGAATTTGCTGTGGCTGGAGAGATGGCTCAGTGGCGTAGAGTGAGTTTCACTCTTGCGATTTGCTTCTAACACACACATCCGACAGCTCACAACTGCCTGTAACTCCAGCTCCAGGGGATCAGACGCCCTCTTCTGGCCTCTGGGAGCATGACACTCATGTGCACATACTCATATTCCTCTCCTCATACATATAATTAAAAAATAAATCTTTAAATTTTTTAAAGAATTCACCAGTAATTAGTTCTGAGATTTGTGAGGGGGGAAATCTCAGGCAATGTTTAGATAAAGGTGTGAGTAATCATAACTCATTTATTAGTCATTACTATGATAATTCTATATTGGTAGCTTGTGAATAGTTTCTTACTTTGTGGATTCATTTTGATGATTTATAATAGTCTTTTATTCTCTAGAGAGTTCTTCATTCTGTATACCTTTTGAGATTATAGGCTTAATTATGAACACTATTTTTATAATTAAACAAAAAGGTTCTCTGCATTTTTTTCCTGTCACTGTTCTCCTTTTGTCTCTAGAGGTTACTTGTTACTTGGTTTTAACCACACACTTACCTGGTTCTTCTTATTTTTCCAAAGATCTGGTGTTTGGCTTTATTTACATCCCTTCTTTAATTTGTTATTTAATTTTTACATGTTAAATTATAAAATACATATAGTGTTTAGTTCTACCTTTATTTCTTGTGTCACATTTTAAGCTGAATACTTAAATTCTCTCTGTACTTGCAATAATAACATATTTAATAATAGAAGCATCCTTTTGGATATAACCTTGGCCACGTTTTTGACATTATCTAATCGACATCCTTGCTTGTTGTGACAAGTGTGTTAGTTTGCTTTCTGTTTAACGACACTTTTGTGGGGGTGGATGGGAGGGGCCGGGAAGACGGCTCAGGGGGCAAGCGCGCTTGCTCTGAAAACGCGAGAGGACCTGAGTTTGAATGCCCAGGGTCCGTGTAATACGCAGCTGTCTGTGTTGAAGCCTCAGCGTTAGTGGCATCTGGTGGAGACAATGGCCAGAGCTCTCCGGCCAACCAACTTAGCCAACAAAGCAAGTTTCCAGTTCAGCGAGAGACCCTGCCTCAAGGGGGAAGGTGGATAGCAGTGGGAGAAGGCAGCCCATGTTCTGTCCTGATTTCCACAAGCACATGCGTGGGTGGGCACCTGCACACTCCCATGCGTGCAACCAACCCACCTACACATCCCCCCCACGCAAAAGGGAAAAGTTGTCTAATTTTTATGCTGTGCTAATGTAAACTGTAATGTAGTTGCTTCTAATACAATGTGCAAAGCTTCAGCTATGGCCGAGGATATGCCCAGCCTTTGTAACTGTTCCACGGATAATTAAGAGGAACATTAGCTCTTTGTAGAATAGAGAACCATGTGTGTCTGTCAACTCCGACTCTTCGGCCACGCTCCCCAGATTCACCTGTTACGTGACTTTGGACTGCTGCATCCATTATTTTGATTTGCCAGTATATTTTCATAATATTTACTTTTTATGTACTCCCTAGCTGTCTAATTCAATACAAACAAATCCAGAACTGTTATAATTTGCCTAATAAATTTCAATTGTAAAACACCAGGCAGACAAGGCATATAATAATCACTCAATAAATGCCAGTTAAAACCTGATTCTGACTCTTCTATTACACATAAAATGATTGCCTTTATCTAATTTGATAATCTGGAAGTTTCCTTGTCAATTGTAAATTGGTATGAATGCCCTCTTTTTCAAATCCTCTGTGGGTGTACGCACAGAATATATCCACTGCACCATTTTGCTTTAAAAGGATTTTCTTGCCGGGCGTTGGTGGCACACGCCTTTAATCCCAGCACTTGGGAGGCAGAGGCAGGCGGATCTCTGTGAGTTCGAGGCCAGCCTGGACTACCAAGCGAGTTCCAGGACAGCCTCCAAAGCCACAGAGAAACCCTGTCTCGAAAAACCAAAAAAAAAAAAAAAAAAGGATTTTCTTTTCTTTTTTTTTTTTTAGATGTACTTATTTTATTTTGTGTGTTGTGTTTTCCCTGGTGCCCACAGAGGCCAGAAGAGGGTGTTGGAGTCCCTGGAACTGGAGTTACGGATAATTGTGACCAAACCCAGGTCCTCTGCAAGGGCAGCCATGTCTCGAGCACCCAGAGTGTTCGTATTTTTATTTACGTGCGCACGCGCATATGCGCAGGTGCGTACCTGCTTGTCTGTGTGTGCTACACGGTATGTGATACCCACGGAGGTCAGAAAGGGAGCCGGATACGCGGGGACCGAAGTAACCGGGGCCGGTGAGCCACACGATGCAGCTCCCGGGAGCTGGACCTGGGTCCTCTGCAACATCAGCACGTGGTCTTTACCGCTGAGCCATCTCTCCAGCACCGTGTGAAAGTGTTTCCAAACGCCTCCCTGGGGTTGCTACAGAAATGATCAGGAGTACTTATGAGACGATCTCTCCCCTTTCGCCTCTCTCAGGGTAACTGTACCCAACAGATGCTTAAAAGAATGTAGACGTCTACTTTTATGTAGTTGGGGTTTTATTAGCTAGAAACGAGAGACAATTCAAATACGTGATTTTTTTTGTTATATATATGAATGCATTAATTTTTAATTAACATGATTTATATGTCGTAGTGATTAATATATTAACTGTATTATACAATTAGTATGCAGTATAATACATCATATCATATAAGTGTAGAATTAATATGAAATTGATATATAATTTATTTACAGTTAATATATTATATATTGACAGGTTACATGTTAATATGTTAAATTTATCAGTGTATTGATAAACATGTTACGAGAGCACATTTATTATGGGTCCGTGTTACACTAAAACCCGAGGTGGAATTGCTGTTAGATTTGGCTCAATCCAGGGACCCAAAGTGTTAACAGGGTGTTTCCTCTTCTTTTCATTCACTGGCACTTCTGCAGCTTCTGAGACTGTCAGCCCTCTCCCAGCTGCAGTCTTAGGGGGTTGGCCACCTCTTCCGGTGGTCGCATCGTCCAGGTGGCAGCCCCTCCTCAGCTGGTTTACCTCCCCAAACTCTCAATCACGTTTTCGAAGAATTCACACACCCATGAAGTGTATATTGGTAATATCCATTCCCATTCCTTCTTCCTTCCAGCTTGCCCCACCCCCACGACATATTCCCCATCATCTTCCCCACTTTGTGTCTTTGAAAAAGAACCTACGAGGGGCTGGAGAGATGGCCCAGCGGTTAAGAGCACTGGCTGCTCTTCCAGAGGTCCTGGGTTCAATTCCCAGTACCCACAAGGCAGCTCAAGACTGTGACTCCAGTTCCAGGGGTTCCAACAACCTCACACAGACACATACACGTGCAAAACACCAACGCATGTAAAATAAAAATAAGTAAAAAACAAAAAACTAAACAACAACAACAAACCCCACTGAGCCGGGCAGTGGTGGCACACGCCTTTAATCCCAGCACTTGGGAGGCAGTGGCAGACGGATCTCTGAGTTCGAGGCCAGCCTGTCCTCCAAGTCACACAACCCCACCTGCCTCTGCCTCTGCCTGGGATTAAAGGCAAGCAGCACCACACCTAGGCCATGCTGGAAGTTTTAGCTGGTTTGATCCTGTGCAGGTTATAACCACAGCTGCTGTGAGTTCAAGGCTGAGAGCAGCACAAATCCGTCCTTTCTGAGAGCCGGGAGGAGGAGGTGTTTCAAGGTTCTTGAAACAATCTAATTAAATGTATCTGATTTTCTCTTCTGGTATGCGAGCTGCAACTGCCCCTCTCGCCACGAGATGGCACTGTTTAATAAGGGACAAGGAAACAAGGCTTGCCATTCAAAATTAAATTTAATGGGGAAAAAATAAGTACAACATAAACGGAACCCGAAGATGCTTTAAAATTTTTTTTAGATGAAACGCTTGAGCACAGTGGTTAAAATTTATTTTCTAAGCGTAATAAAATAGCCCAGCCGTTAACCTTTATCTTTCTAATGATTTTAAGTATTTTAGAATATTTTTGATGGGGCCCGGTGATGTTTTCCACAGTGAAGGCAACGCGTCACGTTCCCACGCACAGTGCACAAGGTTACAGTTTATCCAAATCCTGATAGCGTGCTATTCTATTATTTATTCGGGGGGGCCGGCACATGTGTCAGAGGACAACGTGTGGGCGTCAGTTTTCTCCTTCCATCTTGAGGGTGCTGAGAACAGATCTCAGGCTGTTAGGTCTGGCAGCAAACCCCCTTCCCTACGGAGCCTTCTCGCTGACTCTTACCTTTGGGTGACAGGGGTGAACGGGTTACGTGCCAGAATTTCCCGTTTCTTTTGAACAGGAAAAGGTAATTTATGGCCATTTCCCCCCATGGGTGGACGCTATGAGCATCTCTCAAGCCCTGGAACCACAGCGCCCCTTTCTCCCCAACACCGACTTTCTTGTTAGAGGGTCCAGATCCCCAGGGGCCCGGCAGGAGAGGGGAGGGTGCGGTATTCTCCGTTGTAGAGGAGAGAATGGAGGAACGGGTCCGGTTACCCAGGCAACGCTTGCTCAGGATCCGGGAATGAGGAGGGAGCCCGGGCGGCGGGGGAGGGGTGAGCGGCTCAGCGCCTGGCAGGACTCAGAGGCCGTGGTGCGCGCGTCCCTCGGTGTAGCCAGCCGCTTCCCACCTGCGCCCTCACTTGGTCTGTGTTTACAATTTCACGCCTGCTGTCCGCATAGGTTAGGGCAGTAATCCACAAGGTTTATAGCGCCTGGATCCCTGCGAGCAGGTTCCAAGCCCCGTTTATTTTTTCCTTCTAAGAACTCTTGGATTTTTTTGGGGGGGTGGGGTGGGGGGGTGGAGAGGTCACTTCCAGTTTCCCACAGGATGTAATAATGCATGTGTTTGATTTAGGAAGCAGATATGAGACCGCATGATGGAATGGCGGGGGTGGGGGGCGGGGGCGGGGTGAGGTGGGGGTGATCACAACCAAGCCTGTTGACCTGAGTTAGTGGTGGAGGGAGAGAGCTGAGGTCTGTAAGTAGTCCTCTGGTCTCCACGGGCATGCAACATGGGCAACGGCCCCCTCCCCCGATAGATATAGAAAAGTAGATGTGAGAATTCAACTGTCCTTTACTGGGGACTGTATCGGTGGGATTTGCAAGATTGATAAATGCCACATCTATTAATAAGGGCTGTTCTTGAGGTGTTAATTGTTGTCTGCTCAAAGTATCTCGTGCGGCTATATATTAGGTTTGTACTTTTTTTAAGTATGAAAATTTCTCCGTTTCAGCTCATAATACAGAACATAGACATAGATATAAATCAAATAATGCATTGTTGATCATTCGCAGTGATTCTGAGACACACCAATGCGTTTGAGAATTACTGTCCTTGTGGTAATGGGTAGTAGTTTTCCTTTGTCGAAGAATCGAGATGTTAAAAAATTAAAACATTTACTTACTGAGTATGAGCTTGTGCGTGCGTGCGTGCGTGCGTGTGTGTGTGCGTGCGTGCGTGCGTGTGCGTGCGTGCGTGTGTGCGTGCGTGCGTGTGTATGAGAGGGAGCCAGCCACTGCACCGTGTGGAGGGTTAATGACCTGAAAACCTCAGGTGGCTGAGCAGCTCTGGGTAGGGAAGCAGACTTGACTGATGACACCTGTGGGCTGTCAGGTCTCTGAATTTTCTAATAAGAGCACACCTCTTTGAGTGGCATCTTCCGCTCTGAGATTGCAGGGTAGCTCCAAGCACCCCGTGCCCCCTGTATGGTCTCCACACCCATGGAGAGGCTCCGCCCTTCAGTTGTCTGGATAAAAAGAACAATTCTGCTTCTGGGCATGTCTGTCTGCTTCTTTTATTTCCACATTGCCTCCATCAACCCTGATCTAACAGTGTGGATCTCTTTTCCCCTCTGTGGGGCCAAATCTAGGTCAACAGACTTGGTGGCAAGCTCTTTTAACCACTGAGCCATCTTGGTGACCCAGAAGGCAGATATTTAACAGTCTTGGTAAATGATGTTAGCTAGTTGTGAAGCTATGTGATTTTTAAAAATTTATTTATTTTTATGTGTATTAGTGTTTTGCCTGCATGTATGTCTGAGTGCGAGGGTGTCAGGTCACCTGGATCCGGGGTTACAGACAGTTGTGTGTCACCATGTGGGTGCTGGGACTTGAACCCAGGTCCTCTGGAAGACCAGCCAGTGCTCTTAACAGCTGAGTCATCTCTCCCAGCTCATGTGATTGTTTTGATGGCTCTAAATGCTCACAGGAATGTAATCCAGGTGTGACATTTCTTTTCCCCCCTTTTATTGAAAACAGATTTTTTTCTTCACATAAAATGTTCTGATTATGGTTTCCCCTCCCTCTACTTTTCCCAGTTCCTTCCCACCTCCTCTCCCTGAATCTGCCCATTTTCAGTCTCTTATTAGAAAACAAACAGGTACCGGGTGGTGGCGCACGCCTTTAATCCCAGCACTTGGGAGGCAGAGGCAGGCGGATCTCTGTGAGTTCCAGGCCAGCCTGGACTACAAAGTGAGTTACAGCGCAGCCAGGGCTACACAGAGAAAACCCGTCTCAAAAAACCAAAAAACCAAACCAAAACCAAAAATAAAACAAACAAACAAACAAAACCCCTCAAAACAGAAAACAAAAAAGGAAAACAAATAGGCTTCTAAGGGATAATAATAAA